AACAAAAAAAAAACTTACTCTTGCCCAAACGTGAAAATCCGATTTCTCGTAAGAATGTGTGTGTTGGAGGGGGGTGGTTTAGTGGGTTTAGTTTTGATTTCTAAGACTTTATATCTATTACTTTTCATGCCAACTTCACACAGGTCCGAGTTTTTAGGGGAGTCTAAGTTTTTAGGGGGTCCAAGGTCACTTTAGGTTAAGTTTATCAATTTCATATCTCTACAAATTCCAGAGGGGGTCATGCTCCCCCCTAACCTCCTCTAGAGGTGTGCATGCCAATGTTTGAAAATTTAGCGTTAAACAAATAATTCAAGGTGATTTTTTGAGATAAGTATATATTGCTCTCCGCGTTTAGACCACGGAGTAATTGATCAGTTTTTTACTACCGTTAATTAGTGTGCACATATCATCTATTTACCAAGACTGTCTAGTATTTCTTTAATGAGGAAAACTATTTGACTGAGAGCACTGTGAATTCAGTTTGTAATTAGTTCTCTATCTTATTAAAATTTTATACAAACATTTTTAATTTAGGGCTACAGTTCAGACTTAGTTTTGATTATTGGGATGTTTTAACTTGCATGATATCTTCTTTTTAAATTAGCTTTAGGATGTTCTAACTTTTTTTTTTCTAAATCATTTTGATCAATTTAATATTTCTAGCTTCTATCATATGTTTGATTTTTTTTTAAATACGAGAAAAAAAAATCATGTAATTTGATAATATTTTTGACTTCTATCATCTTAATAATTTTTATGTACGTACGAAAAGAGCTATATGTTCTTTGACAATGTGATTTAGATGCGATTAACCGGTTAATGGGTCAAAAAGTTTTGCGGTTATAACTATTGCCATCCCTAAAAAAATAAATATATATATACCTTTAAATTGCTTTTCTTGATAACACACTTCATGAAATATGCCTATGCGGATTCCAGTGTCGTAACTCCCAAAGAAAAATAAACAGCATTGAAAAAGAAACTTTGATAAAATAGTACAAGAAAATATTCAAGAAGTGCTGAAAATCAGATTTGGATGCATAAAATTTTATTGAACTTTGAAAATTTGAAATTACAATTCTTGACAAATATATTACATCAAAACGTTAGATTTTTGACACTTTTTACAACCATTCCCCACGAATAATGAAAGACCTGGATTTTAGTATCATTGGCAGCTGTTTTTTCATTAAAAATGAAACTCGTACATTTGCTTTGCTTCACTGGTCTATTGCAACATTATTCTGTTTTAAGTTACCCTGAAGGTGACTTTGCAAAGATGTTGGCGATTATGCGTGATTTTGGAGACCAGGTCTTATAGCAGTCTGTATGAATTTTCATAGATACCAATTACGCCCCGTTACAAGCAGATTTATTTTGTATTCATATAAAGCAGAACTAAAATCTAAAACTTCACACGAAAAAAATACATACCTGCTGTGACCTTCAACTCAATTATATATTGTGAAATGGTTTGTTTCAATCTCTACAGTAAACATGCATTTTATTTGATAAAAAAGTCTCTATAATTTGCAGTACAATTAATGTTTCTTTAAAAGATAACGATTCTATGTAACGATTGAACCAGTCAATAATATTTAAGTGTTGCACTCCATTTCCATTACCCATTTAAGTACGAGTTGACTAAAATAAATCATTTTTTTCAAAGAGAATGCATTAATTTATTTTGCGTTCATTTTTAATGAAGGGAGAAGTGTTTCTTAAGGACACCTTGTCTACTAGATATTAAAGAAAATGAAGCCAAAGTATAACATATCATCTTCCGACTAACACATTTTAATGGGTTTCTCATACATATTTCAAAACATAAGGAATTTAAATGAGTTTAGGGAAAAGGGATTGTCAAGAAAAGTCTAAATATCAAAACCAAATGTTTGACTTTTTTTTGACTTCAAAACGATAGGTAAAAGGTAGTTTTCCTGTTGAATAGTTTAATAACTGTTGTTAACGGGGGCAACATTTCGTGACTTATTTTGCAATTTCATCTTTTTATTTTAAGTTTCTAAAATAAACATAAGATGGCTTCTTCTCCACAAATGGTTTGGGTAAGTAAATTTAGATAAATAAATATGATTTTCAGGAGTGTTAATCTCAAGTCACACCCATTAGGAACATAGAAATAAAATATTACATTGTTTATGCTGTTTGTAAAGAAATATGCCTTTTTGATGATCTTTGGTATAATGTGAGTCCCACAATTCTTTTATCTAGTGATCAGTAAGGCAAGTTAATGAAGACAAACTATGAATGACAAAGTCACTTATTCTAAAACTGTCAACACTTAGAGAACTCCGATTTTTCAATTCATTTGTATGGTTTTTATGATTGTTCTCCCGAATAATAATCCACTCGATGGAACAAACATAAAAAAGACCTTGACACAGTTTGAATGGACCAAATGTCTCAAATAGATGTTAAAATCTCACAACAGGCGAATATTTAGGTGCAATATGTTTACCATCTATCCTTTCTATAAACAGTTACAGAGAGGAGAAACTTACCATTAAAAAATTTAGCGGGTTCAATGAAATGTTCCACCATGTTCTTCTTTACTCCTAACTAAAAAAATAGTAGTGAAACGTATACTTTAAGAGTACTGAAAATATTCAAAAGTGGTGAGAATGGGATGTGGATCTATAGAAATTTATTAAACTTTAAGAAATTTTGAAATTACATTTTTTTCCCAAATAAATAACATCAAAACTTTATACTTTTCAACATTTTTTACAACCTATCCCCACGATTAATTGAAGACTCGGAATTTCATATCATTGGCAGCTACTTAAAAAAAAAAGAAAGATGAAACTCGTACATTTGCTTTGCTTCACTGGTCTATTGCAACATTATTCTGTTTAAAGTTACTCTGAAGGTGACTTTGAAGTGGTGCTGTTTAGATTATCTGTTGTTTTAGAGACCAAATCTTAAAGTAGTCTGTCTAAATTCTCTTAGATACCAATTACGCCCCGTTACAAGTAGATTTATTTTTGTATTCATATAAAATGTATAAAGCAGAATTAAATTCAAAAACTTCATATGAGAAGGAATAGATACTTGCTGTGACCTTCAACCCAACGTTAAAATATATCGCAGACGTATTATCAATAAATAATAGCTATTTCAATTCATTTTTAGATACAATATATTCAAATGAGCTTGAAATAAAATATACAATTGAGTCTGACATATTTATTCTACATTTTGGTATTTTACCAGAAAAAGACATTAATTGTAATCTAAAACCATGATTAACGTGATGACTTTGATGTTTCAATCGTCAACATCCCTTATTTATGTATCAATATATCATTACCTGCATATGGGGTTCATATCTCTCAGGCAGTTGATTTGGTGTGCAAAAGCATGCTCTACGTATGAGCAGTTTCTAAAACGAAGTAAGTTATTTACAACTTATTGTTAGCTTAAGGCAATCAATTGCACATTACACTGCCTACGGAATTTTGATTAATTTCCATATCATGACAAGGAACAAACGGCGGATTTCACCGGTTGGCAGGATATGCTTACTCCTCCAGGGCATCGGTGTAACGTTGAATATTGATCCGAGTTTAGAATTGACGAATATTGAACCGGGGTGTTTTTCTCTGTTGAAAATTGAGAGCAAAAGTCGTTGAATTTTTAACCAGGGTCATTTTTCGACAGCTTTTTTTTCTAGTCCATGATGACCTCAACAATTTGAAAATTGACCCTGTTGAATATTGACCGCCACCTCAGAGTTTGAACATTTTTTGAATGGGAAGTTGTTTTACAGGATTTATCAGTATCTCTATCATTATATATTGGTTTCAATTGTTTTCCCTTTTCAAGAGTAATATATAGACATAAACCTTCCATCCCGTGTATGAATGTACTAGTGTTAATTGTAACGGGGCCCGTCATTGCTATATTCTAAACAGTTTCTTTACAGTATAAGTGACATCAAGGTGACATGTTTTTTGTGAGAATGGTTTGTTTGCTTTTTTTTAGTTTTTATTTAGCCACAGTCAAGATTTAGACTGGCTGAAAATCTCGATTTTTAAAACTTCTCCGGCTGTTGCCATAGCAACCGAGACACATAACAACGAAATTTTGTTTGATATTTGTTTCTGGTGTCAAGTTCTAAACATGGGTGACGTTTCCCAAAATCGGTGACAATGCGTGGCAACGAAGTTTAATGGTTACAGAGAATGGCTATTAAATAATAAATAATGTATTGTACTTTACAAGTTTAACTGAATTCATTATTACCTACAATATGATCAGATTGCTCTAGATCTCTTTATAAATGATTTTAAAATAATTATTTACCTGTCAGGTGAGAATATTACTGTTACGTTAACATTTAGAGGCTAATGTATCAAAGCTGAAATAAATCAATTAATTCTTAATGTCTTAGAGTCAGTTAATTGTCACTTTGAATTTTATTTCGAAATTACCGATTGTTATTTTCATTTAAACGGAAGGTGAAGAAGGAAAATATAAATAAAAATCTCATATTTGAAAGAGAGCTAATAGGAAAAACACTGTGTAACATCACAACATTACAGGCATTAACTTGATTAAAAACAGCACAATTTTCATTGCTATATTTGAAATTGCAATTTCAGAATAAACATTTATGGCAATTGATATCAACTTCCATAAATCGATACTTAAACGACAGTAAAATATAGTGTACCTAACAGTTAGCCAATCATTTTTCAGGCATTGATTAAGGTACGATATACATATATGGCTGTTGAAGGACCATTTAACAGAATTTCACAGATTCACTAGAACGCATTTTTTTTTCAAAAAACTTTTTGTTAAGAAAAAAAATGAGCAATCAGTGGGTTATCACTTTAATTGTAAGCTTCTTAGCTTTATCTAAAGCTACTATTTTTTCTCAGAAATATACAGCGAAACCGGAAGTTAATGATAAAAAATCAAATAATGAACTTATAGGGGAAAATACTGCTCATTCATTGACTGAGTGCGCCACGATGTGTCAAAGGGAGTGCGTCTTCTTTGGTTACAACTCCCAAATGAAGAAATGTCGAAACCACAAGACAAGATTAACTTCTGGGATGTCTGGTGAGGCCGGTTGGAGATACTACTCGGATAACGGTATGTATTTTTTTTTCTTTTTGTTTGCTTCTTTAATTTTTTAGGTCTTTCTCGAGAGGACACGCTTGTTTTCATTGACACTTTTTTTGCCTTACAATCTGTTAAATATTGATACGATAGACAGTGTTAAAAAACATGGTCATTGTAGCAACCTTAGAATTTACGAAATATTCAATTTCACATACCTTATATCATGCATAAAAGGATATCATGATTTTACTAATTTTTTCAACATCTAGATCTTTTTTTTGTATCTAAATTGTTTATCATCTTATCTACAGATGCATTCCTCTTTCATATTTCTTTCAATCCACAGAGTATTGACAATAATTATATTTGATTTAAAATACGTTTAATCATGCCATAAATCAAAGATTTATATCAATTAGAAAACAAAAATGATTTTAGATAATGAGAAACAGTTAATCCTTATACCCACTGTACATATTTTTAACATTTTTTCCACAATTAAGAGTAATATCTCATGCAGGCATTATATATCCTCTCACTTCTTGTACATATACAGAATATGATCCCGGTATTTTTTTTTATTAGATTGTGTTTTTTCTGCCATGCCTAAAGATTGTAAAGATCTGTGTGAAGAAGGACAAACTACTTCAGGGGTGTATGATATATACCCCTACAGTACATTAACAATTCCAATAAGTGTTTACTGCGATATGACCACAATGGGCGGGGGATGGACTGTATGTTGTTTATTCTAAATTTTAAAATACATAATATATCTCACGTTGTTTTTATTATTTTAGAATTATAAGATAAAAATTAATAGGAATATTTTGAGTTTAAATCATAATAAATGATTGTTCGAAGCAATAGATTGAATTGATACGCATGTTAATTTTCAAAGGCCATTCAGAAACGTGTAGACGGATCCGTGATCTTTGAGAAGAACTGGACGGAATATAAAAATGGTTTTGGTTCACCGGAACAGAATGTCTGGGTTGGTAAGTGTAAATCGCTTCCAAATAAGAACTTTTTTGTTCCGTTTAAGTTTAAAGATAAAAAAAATTCTTGTGATAGGTAAAAAATTTATAAAGCGTATTTAAGATCTGAATTTAAGACTAGGTAATATGTGTTCTACGATATTCAGATATCGTGTTTAATTGGTATCTCAAATAATTGATTTCAAATATATCTTAATACAGGAAATGACGTAATCCATCAATTAACAAAAGAAAACTCATTATTCCTTTATGTGTCCATCACTCTGGAGAATGGTACAATGCTGTATGAAATGTACGATAGATTTTCTGTCTCCAACGAAGCAGGAAAATATCAACTCTTTCTTGCAGGACCTGCCTAGGAACTCTAGGTAAGTGTTTTCATATTAACTTCTTAAAAAATTTTGTTCAAATCACGCATATTATCATAATAATACTTTTCTGAATTAATATAATAGTAAGTTGTTGAAAAAAGAGAAAGATACATTTTTTTCTGATATCCTGCATTTTGATTCTGATTCCATGCTAATTAAATATTTTAATATTCCAGAATATCATTTGCAGTTACAATTCACGTATTCAGCAGACATTGAATTTGTTATTTTTAAGTAGCTAGAATTTTAAATTATATATTTTTTGTACAAAGAAAATTATGTTGTTATTTTAAACAAAAAATTCCAGTAATTACATTTGCATAACCATTGTTATTCAGCTTGGGTTTCCTGATATCTTTGATTATTTACATATTAACTACTACGGAAAAAGAGAGTTTACGGAGCGTAATTGATCTCAGCACAAAAATTTGATGTTCAAAGAAATTTATTTTATCGGAAATATATTCTAATTTAAAAAAAAAAGCCACGCTCTAAACGGGTTTACTATGCCTTTTTATTAAATGAAAATCAAGTCTGATTTTTAATAGTTCACATTTTCAACTACTACGGAATATGAAGTTTACAGAGCGTCATTACTTTTTAAATGTCGAAAAGAAAAGTTTACAAAAATTTGTTGATAAAAAAAAATATTTGATTGGATACATATTCACATAAAAAAGTTTAAAAAGCCATATTCATAACACCTCAACGCGTTTCTCATTTACAATACCTATGCTTTATTAAATGAAAATCTATTATTTTAAAAGATATATAGGTTCATCATATCTTATATTGGTATAATTTTAAATGAGTTACTTCGCATTGCGTTTCATACATTTTTAAAGGTACCGTCTCTGACATAAGATAATATTATGCTTAAAGGTGTATTACGCCTGTGGTTTGTCGTTACACTAGAAAGGGTGCTACATGAATGTGAAGTGTGCAGTGTTTTAAAACAGTGTTTTTTTTTTTTTTTATCTCTCTTTACAAGAAACAACACGTTAAACTGTGTATCTCAGACTTAATTCAGTATTCAGATTAATGTGATGTAAATTAATAAATAGTAATTTTTATCTCTGTTATACATTTTCTCCAATTCAGCAGGTGCCAGTATGATAGACACTGAATATTTTAGGACTGAACTAAATAAATATTATCGCTCTTTCCAGCACCTAAAGTCGTCTATCTTAGAAGTACCTCGGTATTATCATTAACAATTAGATTGAATATATATAAATCAATTATGTCTGTGATTCTTTTTGTTTACTTCTACAGGAGACAGTCTTTTGGACACAGGGGATTCTGATGGTGATCTGTCTGGAATGTCCTTCTCCCAGACAGGGACAATGACTGGTGGAGTGGATATCACTGTGCTGCTAGATGGGGAGGAGGGTGGTGGTTTAACTTCTGTCACCAAGCCTTCCTTAACGGTCCCTGGTCCCAGTAGTCCTGGTCCTACCCATGGTACCCCACAGTAAAGAGTGGGACATCAGTGAAGGGGACCACCATGATGGTCAGACGTAACTAGGTAAAACTCATTTAATCTTAATATAACAGAGTTTTTTCTGTATCAATGTGATAATTTCAGTCATAAAAGTTTGTTGTTTTTTGTTAATAGAATAAATATGCTTTTATACATTTATCTGTGAAGTTTTAATTTAATAATTTTTAACAGACGAAAGATCATACATGGATTATGATAACTCTCAAGAGAAGTTTTTAAATTAATTTTATCGATAAGTTTTTTTTAAAATATTTAACATCAATTTAAAAAAGGCATGTAAACAAATATGTTTTTGGTAAAGGAAGGGGGGTTGAACTGTTCTGTTTTAGCAATACTGAATGTATTCAGTAAAAGATGTACTTTATATGTGTTGTAATAAATTTGAAATTAGAAATATTTCGTTGTTATTTACAAACACTGATAAAGATGTCTGGTCGGATAAATAGGATGAAAATTTCTTTATTGTTTAACCTATTATAGTGGAACCTGTTTAATCTGACACATTTGCAATACATTTTACTGTGGTGCCGCCATTCAGTTTCATTTCTTAATTATACTTATGTCAACGATCTTTACACGCTGCAATGTTACACTTTGTTTATTCCGACACATACATTTGTAATCTCTCTTCCCAGTGCAAGTAGGATAAGACAGGTTTCATGTAATTAAGATGTTAAGATGTTTATAAAAAATATTAGGTATATGTGATGTTCATGTTTTACAGTATAATACGTATAAGATTAGGCTTCTCTAAAAACATACATTTTTCTTTTTCCATCCATACACTATGTTGAATGGTTGAGCATTTCTATCCATTAATCTACTATACAAAAACCGCTTAAACTGAAATTGTTATTTTTAATATCATGAAGAAAATAAGCTAAAAAGTTGAAGTCAGACGTAGTGAAGATTTCCACAAATCTAATAATATCATAAATGTATTAATTATAGCTTGAATTTTAGGTGCGGAAAGAAACGCAATGTCACTAGATTCGCAATGATACTAGATTATGAGCTTAAAGTAAAAAAAGTCACATTTTCTGAAAATCAATATTTTTTATTGCTACAGATTATTATTTGAAAAAAAAAAAGATTTTTCTGCTCTTGAATGCACAAGATACGCCATAGTAAACTTATATCGATACTGCAATATTTCTTATTTATTTCAAAACACCATAACACAGAACGGGGGTCAAAAGGTTACAATGTGTAATAGGTGTATTATTAAATGCCGAAACGAAAATCAAAAAATTAATTTAGATTCGTTGTTACTTATGTTAGAGATAATTGAAGTATACTAGAAAATAAATGATTTGCAAAAACAAGACAAGGAGTTAGAAAAATTAAATACTAGTATATAAGCACTGATTATTTTTATCTTTTGAAAGACGTAGTCTAATATCTGCAACGATCTGTGCAAACGAATTTAATAACGCGCCCTGGCGCATTACTCAATATGGTTGCAGATATTTTTCCATTTATAAGACTACATCTATTAGAAAAAATGAAACATTGCTTCAGTAATGACACAAACATCGAAATATGTGTTAAGTTTTTCTCTATAATACGATGTGCAGACCATGGTACATAAATAAAAAAAATGTAGACTACAACTTTGAACTTTGAGTTAAATAAATAGGAATTTTTCCGGAACTAATGATAAAGATTCAAGTTGTGTTTCTGAAACAAAGCTGTCTCGTATTGCAGCTTATGATGAATGTTGTCGTTTACAGGTCAAACACCAAGGTCAAAATATGATTTGTTTTGGTACCAAAAGAAAAGTTCCTCACAATGAGTACACCTTCGAGAAATAAAAACCATATAAGTAGCAGCAGTTCAATAATTATGACCAACGTTAGAGATTTTCAAAAGTAGGTTAAACTGGACAAGGTCAAGGAGTCAATAATAATGATGCCCCAAAAAATTCACAAAGATACACAGGTAAAATATAAAAGTCACGAAATAAAAAATTCCCAAGTTCTAACCAAAGTTTTTCAAAAGAAGGTCAAATTCTGAGGTCCAAATAAAAGGATAAAAAATAAAAATATAAATTGGTATTCCAGAAAAGCTCTAACGACAAGAAATAAACCAGTAAAATAGTAATCCCGTAACACTAATAATTCAGGAGTTACGGTCAAAGTTAATTTTTTTAAAAAAAAATGGGTCAAATATATCAGTTCAAGGTCAAAGGTCATTACTGAGAAGCATAAAATCACTTGATTTAACCGTTCAATAGCTATGGCTAAGATTATTTTTTTTAAATTTCTGTAAAAGTGAGTCAAACATAAAGATCAGTCAGAATGTCAAAAATACATGTACCCCAGGAAAAGTTTTTACACGTGGAATACACCAGTGAAATATTAAAGCCATAGCTCATTTGACAAAGGCTTAAATTTCAAAATGAAAGTCAAAATAAAGAAAGAAAATAAACCCAAAGATAGATCCTTTCATATTATATACATCTGTGAAATATGAAATCCGTAGCTCTAACCAATTGTAGGCTGTAGTCAGGGGTTATTGATTTCCCCACTTACAGATAAATCAGTGGAAAAAATCACAAAAAGAGACAGATAGACCGAACGTCACAGCAAAATCTATTTGCCCCTTATTTTTTGAATTACGGATAGAAATTAATAAAACAAGACTTTGTGCTAAAATGTTTGTACGTATAGTGAGACGAGATCCCGGAGTAAGTTTCCTTGGGAAGATAACGAAACAATATAATGCACAGCCTGTCTTTGTGTACATGCCATTCGTAGCTTATTTAAATCATGAGGATATATGTAGATCTCTTCCGAGGAGACGAATATGCGATCCGACGTAACAAAAGAAGACTCCATTTAATGATTTAGAACTTTTTACACCATGCTTAAAGAAATTATATTCAAAAAGATAATGGTTGCATATGTTTATTTTAATTAAAAGACAATTTGCTGTCCTTTAAAAAAAACTACAATACGTGGACCATATGCATGTGTTTCTAAACGAAACTCAGTTCAAGACAATTTCTAGGTTAAGTGAATATTCATGTAGGTTCGTTCACATTTTCTATTATGATCTGCCTACTTTGACTGATCAATAGTACTTACATATAGCAAAATTGTTTTGTCATTTTAAAAAATTGGGCTATATTAACATATATACACGTGTAGCAAAAAAACCGTTGTGAAATGTTATATATAATTACTTGGCCTAAAAAGTTTTGTCATTTTAAAAAATTGGGCTATATTAACCCATAACGGCTGGGACTTTACATCTGTTCTGGATTTATACGGAAGAAATATATAAATGGAAAAATAGATCTGATGGTACACGTGTAGCACAGCTCTGTAGTACGCTTTTTTTTGGACCCCCCCCCGGAAAACTCTTGCTCCAGGCCTGTATCAAGCTGTATTTGGATTGCTGTATATATAATTATTTTTGCAAGGCTTGATGCACAAAACAAATGCCTAAGAAGACTTATTCTATCTTTTAAATCCTAGAACTATTCGTTGAATGAAGTTCTTAATTCAAGGTGTTATTCTATATTCTGCAAGTTCTTCCTATACTTTTTAAAATGCATCTGTCATAGAATCAATGTTTAGTTTCTACATAAATGTGTATGTGTAAGAAAGAAATTCGGATTCGCCAATAAATTAATAAATACGATATGCAGATTTCGAAGCGAGATTTGCCGATGAACATGGTACAGTGGAGCCTCATTTATCCGGACCCTTTGGTTCCTAGTCAATTTGTCCGGATATTTGAAGCGTCCGAATACCTGAATCACCAGTGAAACAAGATAATATAACATTAAAAAATTTCGTCCCGATAAACATCGTCCGGATACTGAAGCATCCGGATATCTGGGGT